TTTTTCATGTATATACTACAGGGTGTTTTACAGGATCCCATGGACGGTCTACAGGATCCCCTGGACGGTCTGCAGGATCCCCTGTTGTTTAAAAAGTATGCATCTGAGATAGGACCTTCTATAGGTTCCCCTGTTGTTTGTTCATCATGTATATACTATAGGGCTTTTAGGATCCCTTGGGCGGTCTGCAGGATCCCCTGTTTTCTCAACATTATATATATTTACTATAAGACGTTCTATAGGATCCCCTGTTGTTTGTTTTTCATGTATATACTATAGGGCGCTCTACAGGATCCCCTGGGCGGTCTACAGTATCCCCTTTTGTTAAAAAATTTTGCATCAGAGATAGGAAATTCTATAGGTTCCCCTGTTGTTTGTTTATCATGTATATACTATAGGGCTATGCAGGATCCCTTGGGCGGTCTTCAGGATCCCCAGGGCAGTCTATAGGATCCTCTGTTGTCTGAACATTATATATCTACTATAGGACGTTTTATAGGATCGACTGTTGTTTTTTTATCATGTATATACTATAGAGCTTTTAGGATCCCTTGGGCGGTCGACAGGATCCCCTGTTTTCTCAACATTATATATCTACTATAAGACGTTCTAAAGGATCCCCTGTTGTTTGTTTTTCATGTTTATACTATAGTGTGTTCTACAGGATCCCCTGGGCGGTCTACAGGATCCCCTGTTGTCTGAACATTATATATCTACTATAGGACGTTTTATAGGATCGACTGTTGTTTGTTTTTCATGTATATACTACAGGGCGTTCTACAGGATCCCCTGGACGGTCTACAGGATCCCCTGTTGTTTAAACAGTATGTATCTGAGATAGGACATTCTATAGGTTCCCCTGTTGTTTGTTGATCATGTATATACTATAGGGCTTTTATGATCCCTTGGGCGGTCTGCAGGATCCCCTGTTTTCTCAACATTATATATTTACTATACGCCGTTGTATAGGATCCGCTGTTGTTTGGTTTTCATATATATACTACAGGGTGTTCTATAGGATCCCCTGTTGTTTAAATATTATGCATCTGAGATAGGACCTTCTATAGGTTCCCCTGTTGTTTGTTTATCATGTATATACTATAGGGCTTTCAGGATCCCTTGGGCGGTCGGCAGGATCCCCTGTTTTCTCAACATTATATATCTACTGTAGGACGTTCTATAGGATCCCTTGTTGTTTGTTTTTCATGTATATACTATAGGGCGTTCTACAGGATCCCCTGGGCGGTCTACAGGATCCCCTTTTGTTAAAAAATTATGCATCAGAAATAGGACCTTCTATAGGTTCCCCTGTTGTTTGTTTATCATGTATATACTATAGGATTTTCTACAGGATCCTCTGAGAGGACTAAAGGATACCCTGTTGTCTGAACATTGTATATCTACTATAGGACATTGTATAGGACCCCCTAATGTTTGGTTTTCATGTATATACTATAGGGCGTTCTACATGATCCCCTGGGAAGTCTACATGATCCCCTGTGGTCTGAACATCATATATCTACTACAGTCCGTTCTATAGGATCCCCTATTGTTTGTTTATAATGTATCTACTACAGGGCGTTCTATAGGATCCCCTGGGTGGTCTACAGGGTCCCTTTTTATCTTTACAACGTACTTGCTGAGTAGTATACATTTAAGTATTATTTATCATTCATGATCAGCCAAAATCCCGGTTTGGGCAATTAAAACAGTAAAACAACAGTATTAGTTCAAGCAGCGATTCTTATTTCTCTACAAAAAGCATTTATACATGTAAGGTGACAGAAAAATAGAAAAAGCCAATTTATATATTATTTCATTCCAGTTCTGAGTCAATAATTATAGAACATCTTCTGAAAGTGCTGCATCCTGAAAATTTGAAATATAAATGACACTTAGAACTACTGTTTGATATAGGACAAGCCAAAACTATATATAGTTTTTAATTCTTTAATTTCTTTTATGTATTCGTTTAATGGTCACAACATCTCACAAAACGTATGATTTCTGAGAAAAAAAGCTTTAAACACTGAAGCAATTTGAATGTTACTACATAGGAATGAATAGTTAATTGTTAATTATAAAATCAAAACCGTTAATGTTGTCAAAGAGTGTAGCAGAAAATTGTCCTTTTTTCTGAACTTCCAGATTCCAGGTAGTCACCAAATCGGGGATTAACATTTGGCCCAAATCAATTAAGTACTAATAGAATGTACACAAAATTACATGTATATCTTTATCGCGTAGAACTAACTTAAAACCTTATTTTACAGCCATCGGATTTGAGTTTGTAGGTTCAAACAAAATATTTGGTTACCTTCCTTGCTATAGCTGAAGCGTAAAGTCATTACTAGGTTTACCTTTACTACCCTTCTATGAGAATAGACTAGTCTGACATAAAACTAATCTATTGTATATTGGATTTTGTTTGAACGGACACAATTAAGTCCGATAATAGCTGTAATGTTTTCTAATTTTGGGTTGTTGTCTTCCTCCTCTATTGTTTACTATACAGAAAAAAAACATACTTTATAAGAATGCAATGTAGCCTATTTGAAGAATATTTTTTACTTTTATTGGAATTGAAAGATATTTATAACTGAAAATCATGCTATTCATATTATAATTGATATAACAATCAAAATTATAACAATTTATGACCATATCACAATTGTAAAGTGTACTTTATCGGGTGCATTATGGTATACAGCTGTCTGTCTGTCCATCCACTTGTCGCTATGAGTAATCTTAATAATCTTAAGTTGTATGTTTGATTTCGTGAATAATATATCTCTTTGGTTTTTCACTGCATTGAAATAAAGAACTATGTATCCTGCGCTTTAAAACAGTTATTTATCTATTGTTTGTTACTTATTGGTAGGTGTTTTAGTTAGAAGCCAGTATCGTTATAAGAATAATGAATAATAAATAAAAACTTTGGAAAGGCAAATACCCGACCAAATTGTAAAAAACAACCCCATACCACCAATTAGCTTTCAACACAGCAAGAATTTCCGCACCCGTAGTTGGGCTACTAGCAGTAAATAACATGCCAGCACTTGATTATATATCAATCAATTAGTTAAAATATGTATGTAGCAAAATAAATATTATAGAAATACCAGAAAAGTACAGAATACGGTTTTCCGATCTTGGAGAGGAGGTTGTGCCATATGATGGAACGCCTTTCATTATAACAGGCAGAAAAGTAAACAGCTGCATCTTTGGGAAAGACAAACATGTAGCTGATAAATAATAGAAACAACAGGACAAAGCCAGCAATCTTGAGGTATGCCAATACTTTAAGTCACTATTATTAAAGAATAAAAAAATTAACTTGAAACAGAATTTTAATCAGTTTAAAATCAACAAAACACCGAATGGAAAAGGAGAATGTGTCATTAAGACAATAACCCGACAAAAATGCTCAAAACAAGCCAAGACCAACAATTGGTATTCAACACAGCGGGACATCACGGTCCCAGTGGCCCGAAACACACATTATCTGAACATCAATTGTCTACTATAGGGCGATCTATTGAATCCATAGGGCGGTCTACAGGATCCCCTGTTATCTGAACATTAAGTGTCTACTATAAGGCAATCTATTGAATCCATAGGGAGGTCTACAGGATCCCCTGTTATCTGAACATTAAGTGTCTACTAAAGGACGATTTATTGAATCTGAAAGGGCGGTCTACAGTATCCCCTGTTATCTGAACATTAAGAGTCTACTATAGAGTGATATATTGAATCCATATGGCGGTCTACAGGATCCCCTGTTATCTGAATATTGAGTGTCTACTTTAAGGCGACTTATTGAATCCATAGGGCGGTCTACATGATCCCCTGTTGTCTGAACTTTAAATGTCTATAAAAGGGCGATCTATTGAATCAATAGGGCAGTCTACAGTCCTCTGTTATCTGAACATTAGGTGTCTACTAAAGAGCGATAAATTGAATCCATCAAGCGGTCTACAGTCCTCTGTTATCTAAGCAATAGGTGTCTACTATAGAGCGATATATGGAATCCATATGGATTATATTTGATAATAAGTCTTTGGATCGGTTAAGTAGTTATTAGAGATATATATATGTTTTTTTAGCTTAATTTTATTTTATTTTTGATTAATTACGAACGACAGTACATGTATAATTATCATCATTATTATTTTTTGAATTTTCATCTTTGTCCATCATTGGAAAAAAATGTTTAATTTGATTTTGTTTTTACATAAGTCAGTACCATATTTTTTAAAAGATCAGGTATAAATTCCGTACCTGGAAAAGAAAAGAAACATGATTTCGCTTGATTTTTTCCCTGGTCAAGTGAGGCTGTATAAAACAGGGGTCCCTTAGTTTGCACACTGGGCTACTTAGGTAATTATAGAACAGGAATAATTGAATAAAATATGTTTGATCTTATTAAAATAAATATGATTTCAAATTTAGTCTGTATATATTGATAAGTGTCAGCTATAAACACAATGTATACTTCCATTCATTTCGTTTCACTGTTTTATTTTGTTTCCAACAAGTGTTTTTTTAATTATTATTTAAGGGTACGTCTAGCCAAACATTACCTAAGTATTTTCAACAAAGCTTCTGACAAAACATATTATATCAAAATTGTTATGAGGCAAAGGCCCTGTGAATTCTTTTGTTTAAATGAACCAACATAATTGTGTGACCAGATATTTCTACAAATCTACTGACCACCGTTAACTGATTTAGGAAGTAAGTGTTATCCACCATATTCATAATATGATCTCATTATTTACCCAGATAATTAAGATCAACGGAATTTGTACAACAAAACATATGTATATGTTTCAATTCAGAAGCTTTAGATATGTTAAATACTTACTATTTGTGAAATGTAAATGCATTATGATTGTTGTAAATCTACGTCAAATAAGTAAACATCACTATACGAAAATTGAAGTAATTCATTTTATCATATATTTTAGTAACCAATTTGTTCTTACAAAATTAAAAACGTCTGACAGTGGCAATGTTGTTTTTAAACCAAAACAATTAATTCTCCAAAATTGTAATTTTCATGTTAAGTTTAGGGGTATTTATCAATTTAAAACAATTTACAGTGAAATACGAACGATGATAACATTTGAATTTTTCCAAATCTTAGGTTATTCATATCAGAAAGACACAATAGGGGAATCAGACGCAATCCATCTTTCAGTTTGGAATGGAGTATTGTTACCAGGAAACACAGAAAACAATTAGATTCCTCATCATGCGGAGTTTTTACGTTGAAGGTAATATACTACATCTATTTCAGTTTTAAAGTCAGGAATCAGACGTATGTTGGTTGGCGTCTGCTTGGCTTGTAGTTTTGTGTTTCTGTTGCCCCGTTGTTTTCCTCTTGTAGTTTTTGTGTTTACTTTGGTTTAAGTTTATCGCCTGGACTAGTTTTTCTCTTAATCGAATTATGGATATAGAACAGTGGTATTCACTACTGTTGTCTACATTAAAGGGATATAGAAATATAGATGATTCCAACACTGCATCAAGTGTATTACGATGTTTCTCTACTCGAAACAGTTAAATTTTCATTTACGATATACAGTGGCAGAATCTGTTTCTCGAATGATTTTTAAAAGAAATTTAAACACAGTTTGACCTTTCTTTCCAAAGGTCAGCAAAAAGAAATGTTTTTTATATGTGCCTGTTTTCATTACGTCATTCTGTGGATTCATTATTATTCGTTGGATACCAATTTTCGTGTATTTCGTGGGTACAGATGAACCACGAAATTAATTATTCAACGAATTACAAATTTCCTATAGACTTGTATACACATTATGGCTAAACCACGAAATTAAATATCCACGAACATGTAAGTTTTTCTTAATCCACGAAAATTGGTACCCACGAAAATAAATGAATTCACAGTAATAGAAAATTTGAAAGAAAGCAAGATTTTGATGCCATAGAAATTCGACCAATCATTTGCCGAGAACAAATTTCTCTCTGTGGAGACTAGAAATATTTTTCTTACACCGGTTGGAAAATGTAAAAATACAAAAATATCACGAATATTAGAAGGAAAAAAAAACAATCCTTTGAAAGTCAGACTCTATTACTTTTATTCACGGTGTACTAAGACCAATTATTCCTATTTTGGTATCGGCCAAATATTTAAACATTAATACATGTATTGCAATTTCTTCAGAAATTTATTTCAAAAAAATGTTTGGTTGATTTAACCCGTAAAATATGTACACCTTTATAAATCTCGTCTGAGGAACATGCTTTACAGCTCCGCTTACAAGTGTTGGTGTCAACATCATTCTCTTTGAATTGAATATTCTCGATTTATATATTTTCCAGTTGCAGAAAATGTTCTTACAGATAATGACTTTATGTTTGACTCATCAAAAAGGGCTATAAGAGCATCAAGACACATCATTAGACAAGTTCTTGTTGATAGCAGTGGTAAGTGTTGTATTTTCTCGGCATAATTATATTAAAATGCATTATAAAGTCAGGAATGTGACAATTGCTTTCCATTCGTTTGATATGTTTCAACGTTTTGTTTTGCCATTTGATTACATTTTCATTTAGATTTTTTCCTTTAAGTTCAGTATGGTTATTTTACTTTATACCCATTGAGAAAAGAGTTTCATTTTTAATTCATGATAAGAAAAAGACTTCCATACCATATGAAATAATTCATTTATATGTCATAAATTTCAAATGTTCGTCTACGGTCATGAATTATTGTATTCATATGTCCACAACTAATGTAAAAATATCAATATAGCAATTTAAAAGTTAAAGTTGAACATCTAAGAGGTTCCTTTACTTGATGTTAATCACTGATTTGCAGGCAATTATCATGAGATTTATTAAATTGTCTTAATAAATGAAACGTTCTTATTCTAGTTAAAGGATTATCACAACAACAGCAACCCAAGGCTATGCCCCCAAGACCTAAACTCAGGAAACCGAAATTAAAGGTAAAAAGATTCATAATACAATAAAAATGTACAGATAAATGTAATGGTTATTAACTTTTAGTGGGATATTGTCTAATTAATACTGATATTATTTATCATAGAGTATCTGATTTAAAAATAAAAAAAATCTACGCCATGTTTACAAGACTCATCAGTAACACTCAAATCAAAATAATTCAAAAAAGTATAAATTTAAGTTGAATAACATTAACATTAAAGAACGATAGAAGGTGGTCTTGTGATAGAATAACATTGGTTATTTTTTGGGAAATATCATGACAATTGACAAAAAACAAGGTACACAAAATACAAATAAACATAAATGTACACATGGCAACAAACAGCATGAAATTCACTGGGGTTGATCCAGATTATTGAACAGTAAATGCTTCTCAATTACACCTGTTATACTGTTTTTCTGTATCTTTGTACCTTTAAACCTTATGAATAGATTTTCAATTAGATTTTTCATGTATTCCTTACACATTTAAATTAAGGAAAAGGGCATTGAAACAGCTTCATCATCATGCACACAGGACATCCATTGGCTATTTATATCGGTGTCAGCAAAGGTGAGTTTATCTCATGATTATATATGTAACTGTATTCAGTTCTTCAGGGATACATTTTTTTTATATGGTTTATAATAGTAATTGGAAACATATTTTATGTTTACCTATCAAACATTGCTTTTTAGGGATACCCGTTATTTATTATTTAGACCATATCGAGTTAACCTAGTGGCTTTCATAATCTTGACAGATATCTCCTTTTAATTTGGAAGACCTATATTTCTGTTTTATGCATATGTATATAATTTGTTAAAACTATAACTGATTTTATAAGCGGCTGTAAAACAAGTTAGAGGTTAAGCTAGCTTTACAACCAGGTTTAACCCATCATTTTCTGCAATTGAATGCCTGTACTAAGTCAGGACTATGACAGTTGTTTCCATTCGTTTGATAAGTTTGAGCTTTTTGTTTTGCCATTTGAGTAAGGATTTTCCATTTTAAATTTTCCTTGATGTTCGGTATATTTGTTATTTTACTTATTACAGACATGTTTACAGTGTCAAAGTCTGACTAGTGCCATGTGTGATGATTTTGATACAATGCCAATGACTATCACCAGAGGATTCTCATCTGTGAAAGGACAGAACTTAGCAACATTGGTAAGCCTTATGTTTTTGCTATACAATTTGTGCTACAAATGTGGCATACTTGGAGAGCAACATATATACCTAGGATACGATATATTTATGTCCTGTTAATTCATTATTTCCTTTAACTCATTTCATAATCATAATCTAATAGTTTACAAAATTAAGATAATTTTTCTTCATGGGTTTAAATGAAACTTTCACTGTTAGTAGTTAAAGTGACATTAAAGAAACCAAATGATTCTAAATTTAGTAAGTTTAATTATGTTATCCCTTTCAAAGGGTGGGAGGGCATATTGTTATTGTTCATTTCTTTTTTTTTCATCATCATCTTTTTCCCCATAACTTTATTGTACCGGCAAGTTCTCGGAAAAGGATAGACACATTCATCTTTATGGAATTATGGCATAATGTAAACCACCATATAAAGTTGTGCTTTTTTAATAAGGGGATGGTCCAAGACGGTCGCGATTACTATAAACTCTGGTCAACAGTATTTTTTATGTTTTTTGTATATAAATCTAGTATGCCTGAGCATAGAACCATGATATTCAATATAGAAAATAGGTGTCAACAACTTGTATGGTCCTCAGAACTACATAGCAGTAGGGAGTTGTGTTTTTTTAGTATGGATTTTTTTTCAAAATTGCTGACGTAAACCTAGCAATGGCAAGGTCGTCTGGCAACTTGACAACAGTATGACATCCGCAATTATAATTATAGTTATTTTCGTATTCTTATGGATTTGTACAGAAAGGAGAAAAGAAATTGACCCCGTCTTTTAATATCACTTTCCGATATATTGATGATGTACTGTCTCTAAATGATAATAGATTCAGTGATCTATGGCAAGCCGTTTTTCTATTTATTCTAACTTCAAGATATCTCATATAATATATAAGATATTTCATATGATATATAAGATATCTGTCTCATATAATATATGAGATATTTAATATAATATATAAGACATCTCATATAGTATATAAGATATCTCATATAGTATATAAGATAAATTTAAGAAGATATCTTATAAAGTATATAAAATATCGTATAAACTATGGAAGATACCTTATAAATTATATAAGATATATTATAGAGTTTATAAGATATCTTATAAAGAAAATTATAGTAGATATCTTATAAACTGAAGAAGATATCTTATAAAGTATAAAGTATATATAAGATATCTTATAAATAAAATTGAGAATGGAAATGGGGAATGTGTCAAAGAGACAACAATATAAAGTATATATAAGATATCTTATAAAGTATATATAAGATATCTTATAAAGTATATATATGATTTCTTATTAAGTATATATAAGATATCTGATAAAGTTTATAAAATATCTTATAAACAATTTTTAGATAAGATATCTTATATACTTGATAAGATATCTCAAACAGTTTATAAGATACCTTATATAGTTTATAAGATATCTCATATAGTTTATAATATATCTCGTATAGTTTATAATATATCTTATTAAAAAAATATAAATAAGATATGTTATAAAAAAATATAGATAAGATTAGAAAAATATATAAGATATCTTATAGATTATATGAGATATCTTATAAACTATATAAGATATCTCATAAACTATATAAGATATCTCATAAACTATATGAGATATCTTATAAAGTTAATTAGAGATCTTGAAGTTAGAATAAATAGTAAAACGGCTTGCCATAGTGATCACTTACATTTAATATATCAAAATTATTGAAAATAAAGATACTTCCGACACAGATAAATCTGTTTCATATTTACACCTTTTTCTTGAAATGACTACTGATGATAGGTTAAATACCAAAAGTGTGTTGGAATTCATATCATTTACTCTTCCGCAGTCATAACAACCTTTCATTATTACCGGACTGAACAGGGTGTCGTATACAGTGCAGGGAATGTTTACCCTTCCCGAGCACCTTATAACACTCCCGGTTTTAGTTGAGTTCGTGTTGGTTCCTATTTATTTATAGTTGTTGTGAATGTCTTTTGGTTTTATGAGTCTTTGTTAACTTCTTTGTTTTGATAGTTATTGTCTTCCTTTAAGGGCATTAGTACTGGAAAAGATTGTCTAAGGTAGGGACATTGATAAGATTTTAAGATAATTGAGACATTTTTTGAGAATTTTTAATGAAAGATCATTTGTTTTACCTATGTATTTTTTTCTTATACAGTTTGATGTCCACGTCAAACACAAACTGAAAGAGGTCATAGAAATGACTGAACTTCAAGGAAGTGCTAGGTGAGCTTTTCATAATTTAAATGTTTAAACGTTTCACACTATTGAATGCTTGCTTTGTTTAAAAAATGATGCGACATTATACCACTTTAACACAATATTGGTAGATCATATATGAATGAAAAAAGGTTTAATAGCTTTTCAAATAAAAACTTTATATTATCGTTATGTATCATATACTTTTCAACTATAAATAGAATGAATAACAGCTAGCACAAATATCCAAAGAAATGCCGTACTTCGACCTATACTTGTTAACTTTAAATACATTGTGACTTGGATGGAGCGTTGTCTCATTGGCACTCATACCACATTTTTACTTTTAATGAAAATATCTGATCTTATGTTATCTTATCTTATCTTTTTATTTATATAAACACTACATACAGCTATTACAGTGCACATTGGAGGCATATACGTTGGATTACCGGTATTTCATTAGCAAAGCATATAGAAATGAGGGAAGCCACAGCTGGGATATGCGAAAGACAGAACATTTTTGGAAATACTGTAAATATAAATATGTCTAATCTTAACTATTGGTTCAATACTTTTTAGTTTTTTAATACGTAATTCATTCAATGATGTAATTTATCTTCCATCTATATGCTGACACTGCAAGAAGGACAATAATCCTTTAAACATGTTAAATGATCTGCAATGTTTATGATAGAAAATGAAGATGACTTGAATTGTGTCAATTTTATAGCCACAGGTCTAATTAACTTGGGTTTTTATTTTTTTTAAGTTTAAACTGATTTGCAATTATTTGTGTTGTATGTCTGTAAACTACTATTACAAGTAAGATGTATGAGAGTCAATCACTGATGACCCTTTCTTCCTATTGAGGAAAAATAGGTCAAAATATTATCCTGATATTAAAACCATTCAACATCGTAGCAATACTTCTCTTATACATGTATCATTTTCTCTTTCAAATAGACAATGGAACTAAAATGAATCCACTTTAAAGATGTTCTTACCCTGTTTTCAAAATATAACTGATCATTTTACATAATGCTTTCAGGCAGGCCAAGAGTTGTATGCCTTGGTTCTCGCCGAGTTTTCGGAATGGAAAATTAAATCAATACAGTAAGTATGAACAGTTTTTTTTAAATTTTAAAACTCGTGTATATTTCAATCAAGTTTATAGTCTATAACAATTCATGATTAAAGTAGATAAGGTAAATATCTTCCAGTTCATTTTAAGTCCTTTTCAGCAGTTGCATTGTTTTTCTGTGTTATATTTTTAGGCGATTGGGATTTACACATAGACACTAGTTGACAGTCAAAGACAGTATCAATAATTCCAAGCTACAGGCAACACTAGACAAAATGTAAGTGATTTCATTAATATTAAGAATTAAAGTCTACTATTGATTTATCAGTTAGAAAGTGTTTCCTTTAAGTTTTATTGTAAGGAATTATCTTTGTATTCCAATTGGCTAGAAAGCTAGTTTTATGAAGATATATTTCAAAGTGAAGCAATATTGTAGGGTGCTTGGACATTGATGATATTAATATATGATCTATATCAATTTATTTATGACAAAATTGGAATTTAATTTGATAAATGGACTTGGTTTTAGTTACATTTTATATACATCTATTCCCTCATGTCGTTAAGGTATTATGTGTCAAACATCTTGAGAATGATAATTTAGAACTTGATATTATTCCATTATAACTCTTAAATGATATGCATATTAGGGAATACGTTCATATGATTGGTCGAGAAGGCTTCCGGTAGTCACTCTTTAAGTTTTTCGCAGGTAGGTTAATGCTGTTCTAGAGTAAATCGGCTATTTATTCATAAAAAAATCATCGAAATTTGAAATTATTTTGAGTTTTAGTCCAGAACCTTTCATACCCTAAACTAATTATGATCATTCCTTATATCATCCAAAGTTTTAATTTCTGCTGTCTCAGTACTCCCCACCACGTTACCATGGTAACGGGCGACATTCAAAGATGGCGTGTGAACCTTCAACTTCAAGAGCCCGGCACACCCCAAAGAACTATATCAATGAATGAAAATAAAGTTGTATATGGTTGACAAAGATGTTATCTTTCCTGTAACGGCTGTTTCTTTCTTTAAATTTGCCTTGTTATGATAAAAAATAACAGAAGTGACATACAATCCAACCATGCAAACACCAAAAATCAACTTTCTTGTCAATTTTGAAAATGTTGTATTCATTTTAAAAACAAGAAACAGCAATCTTGGTGTTCATAAGCTTTCCAAGAATAAATATGCCATGTTTTAAAGAGATCAATAAATATTAACGGGGTGTGCCAATGCGATCTTTATAAATGAATGATACCCAAGTTCTTTCGCGGCGACATTTAACACTGAAATGATTCAGATCGATTATTCCCCTTTATTATATCAAAGTGCCGAGAAAGAAATAAACGACATTATGATAGTTTTTGACTAAAAATGGACACATTGAAGATGTAAAACAATGTTATTTTTTCATTTTTATACTTGAAGGTGTTCACGAATCTTGAGAAAAATCACGGTGCTAACGAATGTCATGGGGGAAAATGGGGGGATACTCTAACGTTATACTTTGTAAGATATTGTAAGAGTTTCGTAACCCCATGTTCATTTCTTACTCCACATATGTGCCGATTGTAAATAAAATTAACTTGGTTACTTTCTTTACTTCGATTCTCATAGGGATTTTACGATGCTTTACGATATGGAGATAACGAACGACAAAAAAAGTCTTTCTAAAACAAAATGATTCTCCTGCATTAGAAAAAAGCCATATTTAACCAGCGATAGTGGCAGTAGTGCATGGAAGTATGAAGCCCCTTTTATCAAACTCATGTTTCATGAGAAATATTAATCTGCTTAGTCCTGATAAAGTTTTTTTTCAGTTTTAAATAGATAGTATGCTATTTGTTGAACATGCATCATTCATTCATTGCAGTCTCTTGAATAGTAAAATAATGAATTCAAAAACAGGTCCAAGCATTGGTCCAGAATTAAAACCAGAAAAAAATATAATACTAGGTCATGTACAGAAACAAAAATAAAATAAGACATTTCCTTTAAGAGATGAAACTATTTGTTTTTTCAATAAAGTTGTATGCATGTGAAAGCCATTACTTCTTCAAGAGTACATTATGAGTATTATTTGACTATTAAATACATAATGTCTATTTCAAGAGATTCATAAAAACTATGATAACGTTTCATTCATTTCAAATAGTTTTCTCAGACTAAATACCAAAAGCATTGTATATGTCATATTAAACTGAAAGTCCTTATCATAATGCATACACTACTTTCTTGTGGTTTTCCATGATTCATAATAAATGTAGAAATATATCATACAGCTGATTTTCATTCTTTATTCCTAAACTTGTCTTTTATTTCACATATAACTTGCAAAGAATATTCCTATATACATGTAAAATGTTGTGAATTACAATATATATATGCCAGTAAGTACATGCAGTTATACTACCAGCCTAAATTATAATTCTCAATCAGTTCACAGTTTTATGAATATATCCAAAATTATCTCAATAACTGGCATATAATGAATAATGATATGACCTTTTCCTTTTGTGTGTTGATATTAAAAGAAAGAAGTGCACAGTCATTTCCTCTGGTGTAATACTTTTATTTCTTTGTCTTCAATGCTCCAGAGTCAGTTTTAACAGTAAAGTAATCCTTCCTTTTGTTGTCATACTGAAAATTTCTTCATTCCAAAAGTCACATGTGACATGGCATTGGGTTCTTTCATATTCAGCACTGTTATAGTTTTGTTAAATGTCCTCAAGCTTTTATCTTTAAAACATTTGTTTCACTTTTTTTTCATGCATAGATCTAAAACTATCCCCATATATGGTTATAAATTGTCTGACAATTTCCTTGCATGTTTTGATCTTCAAAAGAAACAAGTGGTTACTCTTTTTCTCTGATTACTTTTTCCCATTTCAGTTAGTAAAAACTTGTATAACACCATTGCCTCGAAGCCATCTTAATACATATACTGAAAAAAATATGTAAACATTTAGTGAAATTTTAAAGTTATTGGTATTCATGTTATGATACAAATAGAAAACTTCAGTCAAAAATGTGTGTTCCTAAATTATTATTGAATTAAAAGTAAACTTGACAAAAAGTTCTACATTGATTTAAAATGAACTTTTAATTTATGAATTTTCTGTAAAAGTACAATTAAGTTTGTAAGCAAACTTACTTCAACTGATATTTACCCATCACAATGCGTTACCAATCTGTTATTAATTAATATGACTTAATCAATATTGAGTGGGTGTGACTCAATACAACAGACAACTTACATATACACCTCACCTGAGGGTCTGGATGGTGTTTACAGAATAGATAATGATCCTTATGGGCAAAAAGTGCAGAATAAAGGGCTTACAAATTAAAGAATAAAAAATGACTAATTATAAAAGAGAATAATGGGGTGTTAAAACACAAAGAATACAGAATAATGAGCAAAATAGATAAAGAATATAGGAAATGGTATACAAAAAGAATAAAAAACTGAAGGACTCCCAGAAAGACTCATACATTATAATATTAATACTTACATTGGGTAGACCTCATATTTGATATTATAGAAAGTACACTCTTTAGGCATTAACATGTCAACTTATATGTGCCAGGTGTAAATCAATCTGCAAAAGAAGTTATAATAATTATTGAAAGGATTCAAGCTAAATTTTATACACACCAGATTGTAAATAAACATAATTAAGATTGATGTGAATTGTTTTAAAACATGCTTGTCAAGATTTGAAAAGATCTACACAAAGAAACATTGACTTCAGATACACATTTTTATAGTGAATGAATATTACAAAAAAACAAATAGTAATAATCTAATGACTATAAACATAAGCAAAATGAACAAATTAATAAAGACAAAAATTTAAATGTACACTAAAAGGGATGATTTTAAATGATAGTATGATGACTTATAAGATTTAAAACCTTATAGGAAAAGTTGTTTATCAATTATGGCCATGATAATAAATAATACTTCTTAGATATAACATCTCATGTGCCTGCCTAAGCAAGTTTATTGAATGCAAGGCAAGTCATATACATTAGTATGATGCATGCACAGAGTCATATGTATGCATATATTTATGATATTTTTGTTTTTTTTTTGTAATATATTATAAATTGGAATAAGCACCTAAATAAGAAATGATTTTGCATGTGCAATCAGGGCAATCTGAAGATTCATATTCAAATATACCTAATAAATCTTTAAAAAAATGTTTAGGTGTTTGCCTCCAACATAAATCCGAATTATATGACATGCATACGAGACAAATTAAGGGGAGAGGGGGGTATTAAGGGGAAAGCTGGCGGGCATGGTGTTCGGACTTTTTAACAAATTCCACTCCTTACGTTGCATTGTTGCTGACCATTAAGATCCATATTTAAAAATATTAGACTCGCATCTCTGCATGGCAGGTCTGTCTGCAAAATTTCAATATAAAGTAATTTAGTCAATGGTCAATGAAGATATGATTGTTTATAAGCGAGTAAAATAGTG